TAAGATCATTTTCGCGCGGAAAGCTGCATTTGTGGTTAAGAAAATTATATTCCGGGGATTGACGAATTTCGTTTTGATGGCGAAACACGCAATCACAAACTCTACGCTTGAAATTTGGACCACATCCATGCATGATAGTCTGAATACAAAAGTTAAGTAACCAACTTTTCTTTACATATATCAAAACACATTGGCCGTAAAGGTCTGTGTGAATTTTCCATATCTGCGACATTATGCAAAGAAACGCGTGGCTTGTATTTTGAACACATTTATTTTCATCATGTCGCACTTAATTGCGCTGAAAACGCAGACCTTACAACCGGCTTTGTTAATGCGCCATATTATGATCAGCGAAAGCTTCTTCTCGCCCTAAGAAAGCCAAACGTCCTCTTGTATTGCATAGAATATCGAGATATATCTAACGCCTGCCGTGTGAGCAACTCAGCAAGTGTGAGCCGTGTGAGTTTCTCAGAGCTCAGTGCTCCGTGACATCATGGCATTATTGAACAGACCTACAAACTAAAAAAAAGAACTCTTGATGAGACTGGTAAATAAACGTGTTTTGTTTCGTGTTGTTGTTGTTGAGGGTGATTCAACAATGCAATGGCATCTTACTCACAGAATCACGGGCGTGCCACCTAGTGTTTCTGTGTAGTTTTCTCATTATTTTGCGTTGTGGTAGTAATTTCTGAACAGTTTTTTGCGGGGACTTATTTTCGGCTTGATTTTGCTGCTATCAGACGGAAAAAGTTTGCGGCTCAATATTTTTGGTTTAAAGCNGAAACAAAAGAAATTCATTTTTAAATAGTATTCGGTAACCTCTGCTTGGGAGATAAAAATCGGCCGATTTTATTTTTAGCCGGAAATCATCGGTCGTTTCTTAGGCGCAGGGCCTCTTAATTATTTCGTACCCAACAAAAACCGCAACATTCCCTAAAATCAACCCAGTACACAATTAATCATTGCACAAAAATATTTAAGTGTTTTAAACACGGAAGAATGATGTAGTTTTGCATGCGAGGCTCTCAAACTTGCTTAATAAAATGGTGCGTCAAATAACGATTTTAACGGAACTTGGTAATTTGCATATTTCTTTGAAATAAAAGGATATATTGCCAAAAAATACTATCCAGTAGTTTTTGTCTAGCCCTAGCCTATCTACCATAGGAATATGAGCGAAATCGAATTTTCGACCCTTGCTGCGAAATTAGGAATTTGTCTGATTTTTACAGGCAGGCACTCTTAAGTCTCCGTTGAACACACAAGAGGCCATCCAGATCGTCAAATCCACCTGCAGACGTCTGGTCAAAGCGCGGATAAACGACTGTCACAGAAGACTCAACAACTGCAGCAATAAACTACAACAACAACTTGACAAACTTAAACAACTGTTACCGACTAACTTACTTGACATGGTTACGACAATCGCCAACAGGCGAGCCGACAAAACCACAGACCGCGTTCGTACTGAACAAGAACGAAAACTGACAAGACTTCAACGCAATAAAGACGAAAAACGACCGAAAACCGACGATAACTGGGTCAGGAATATTTCTTCCCGTCCCTTAGACAAAACCGAGACTCACGTACTGTCCTACGGACTAAAACACTCAGTGACGCCTAAACGTTCGTTGTTGTACAGTGTACAGAAAACCGACGCATACCGACAGATTACTTGACGAATCATCCTACAACCCGACTTCACACA